CCCCCCCCCCTGCCCCCCCCCCCAGTTCCGGCGTCCCTGTCCGCAGTTAATGTTGTTTAACTCTACTTTGATCGGGAAAGGAAAGACTATACAGAGTAGTCCCAGTTACCTCGTCTGCATGTATGTAATCGGCAGTAAGCACATAAGTCAAGTTTGGAGCTGAAAGTTCATGATCACTAGAAAATAATTATTTAATTCTTCCTCATTGCATTCGCCCAAATGAAAAATATTTTCGTATTAATCAGTCATATTCTGTAGCTATGAACTGCAAACGCATATAATACACAAGATTTTACAGGCTTGGCTTGTTCAAAGCGAACATGAATGCAAAGTAGTTTTATTGAAATTTCACACAAAACATTTTTAGAAGCTCTATAGATAGCGCTAATCTCTTTTTGATATCTTCTTGCACATACATGTCTTTTGGTATGATAGACTTCCACTTCTCAGGTAGGTTTAATAATCTTTGTTTTAATTAATTTCCGGGAAGCTTAGTTTCCAATTTTTGCTGCACCTCAAGTGAGTATAAGCGTTAACATTGTACATGTACTGTACGAACCGCTTGAGACACTCGTTTAAAATTAAAGTTTACGAAATCTGAAAATTTCTAATTTTATGTCTAAAACTCTAATGTTAAGTAATCCCTTTGACGGAAACAATAAATCCCGGACTGCATTTAAACTGTTTAAAATTCTCATCAACAATGCTGCTGGTATTAACGGGAGAACAACGTTTGCAATTAACGTCTGAACGTTCGCTCAATGGACAATTCCAGCTATCGACTAATTTTTTATCTAGACAAGAAAGACGAAATATATCATTATAGTTCAAAAGAGCATCCTAAAATTAGTTAAAACTGCAAAGTTTGGTTGCGAAATGTTGTAAAATACTAAAAATATAGCCATGTGAAATTAGTATTTTAGTATTACGCGCGCGGTAAAAATAATCACTTTCGGCTCAAAAATGGTTAAATTGGTTAAAAAGGTTAAATGCCGCCAAGCAGGTTTGGGCGCACAATGCATTGTGGTTGACCATGACTCTTTAAAGAAATGTCTTCTAGACATAATTATACTTTTATATACCGTATAATAAAAACATAAATGGACTCTGCCTCAATGGTAGTAGATTGCATCTAAATGCAAAAGGATTAGCTTTACTTAATTGCTGTTGATTTTATTAACTTTCTAAGTAAAGGGAAGCTTTCAGCAACCTATTCACGTAACAGCCATCGTGAGAATTTTCAAATGGAAAGGACGGTACTACGTCAACTGGAGAATATTCTGAGAACGATTACAAGAGAACAGACTTGTTAAATCTAACAAATAACTCTAGCGATAAAATAGGACCGAAGGAAAAGCCAGTTTTTAGCTAGTGATTCTGCCTCAAGCATGTTTGATTTTGATGTTTCTAAGTTAAAAGGCTTGAAAATTGCTAATTTAAACGTAAATGGCCTTTGAAAACGAGGGTAGGTATTTTTCGAGTTAAGCTCTTCGAGTTAAGCACTTTTCGAGTTAAGCCACTGCCACGCCCTTTTTCGCCGGGGGCTTAACTCGAAGTCAATTAACGATTTAAGCATTCGACATTTGATGGATGTAAACAAGTGACGACAAAAATATTGGCAAATAAGTAGGGAGAATGTAAAATTTCAGCAGTGTTAAGAAATATATTTAATTTAATTAATTTAAAAAGTATTTATATTGCGCTAAAACTATAAATATTCTAAAGCGCAGTTTACAACATACAACAATGTAATCAACTATATAAATAAATGTATAATATATATATGTAGATAGATAGATAGATAGATAGATAGGTTGTTTAATAATTCACTTTTTGCAGTACAAATACTGAATTGGTAAGCGATTACAATGTAAATAAGACTGAATACAAATTATATTACATTTAAAAAATTACAACCTATGCTATGGCTTACTAAGAAGATTATAAATATTAAAACTAACACTAATTTGTTGAATTACGATTATTTATGTCTAAACAACTAGCGATGACATAAGAATTCTTAAAAGGTTCAGTATAGAGTTTCGGAACATGTATCTTCTTGTTGTTTCGTAATTGGTAATTTAATGAAGTATCTATTTTAGGGATTAAATTATGAAGTTTATGGACGGGTTATTTAAAATTTGATTAAAAAGTTTATTGCAGGCAATTTGTCTTCTAGCGTACAATGACTCCATCCCAGCTTCCATCAATGCATCTTCGTAATGTAAGTTCGGATATACAATTCGAAGAACCCGTTTTTGTACTCGTTCAATTTTATCACTCAAGTATTTAGGTAAAGAGTAGTGGAAAACAGTGGAAGCGCATTCCAGAATGGGGCGGATACATACGGTATAGAATTGTAAAACATCTTGAATCGCGACTTTTGCTCGTTTCAGCTGCACTAAAAGGTAAATTCTTTTGGAACTTTTTGTCACTATGTTATTGACATGACTATTCCACTTCAAATTGTTCGCGATAGTAAGACCCAGTAATTTTGCTCCTTCCACCACTTGTAAAGGTTTACCATTAATTTTAATAGGAGGAAAGGGATTTCTATTTTTCGCAAAGTCTATCCGCAATTCTTTGCATTTGTTTTCATTCAATCTGAAAAGGTTTGACTCGGACCACTCTTCAATTTCGGACACTGCATGTTGGATATCACTTGAACCAAATCTGGTTACTGTTTCATATACCGTTAGATCGTCTACGAATTTTACCCCGTCTAAACAACGTGTTTTTAGATCGTTTATCATTAATATAAATAACCACGGACCCAGCTTGGTTCCTTGAGGGACACCAGCTGGGACATTCCCCCACTCCGAAAAACAGTCGTGTCCCAATTTGGTTCGTTGTTGTCTGTCACTCAGGAAATCTGCAATCCAACTAACAGTGGAATCAGGGATTTCGAGGAATTTCAGTTTAGATAGGACGATGGTGTGGTCTACATAATCGAAAGCTTTTTGGTAATCAACCAAAACAATCCTTACTGAGGCTCTAGCACCGTCTGTTTTCTCCGACCATTTATGAATCATTTTAATAAGCGCCTGGTTTGTGGACGAGCCGGGAATAACACCATATTGATTTACATCTAAAACTTTAAGGATTGCGGGTTTTAAATGCTTAATAACCACGAATTCCTCGGCGACTTTAGAAAGTAGAGGAGTTAACGAAATGGGTCTAAGATGTTGGTTAATGTCATGAGCTGGCGTCACCTTTGGAACTGGGATGATATTTGCTTGCTTCCAAATTGGGGGTAGTTTGTTTTCAGTGTAGGAACTGTTTATGATTTTCATCACTGGTAATGAGAGAATCATTGCATATTCTTTAAGAACCCAAGACGGGACATTATCAGGCCCACCTGACTTCCAGGGATTGAGTGAGTTAAAACAATTCCAGACGTCCAGTTCAGACACTGTGAGGACATTTGAAATGGAGTCGTTGTTTGGTACTGTGATTTGCAACGGTGGAAACTCTTGGAGTGGTTCCAGAAACTTGTCATTAATTTTATTTGCAACCTCGATATCACTTCAGTTATCGAGGTCATCAATTTGTAAATTGGAGCGAAGATCAGATTTGGTGATTGTATCCATTCCACTTATTTTTTTAACTGCACTCCACCAGTTCCTAGGCTTAACATGTTTCAGGTTTTTAATCTTTCAATCATAGTAGGAGGACTTGCATTTTTTTCGTTCCATGTTAACTACATTGCGATAATATTTAAATTCAATACTGTTCCCTGATTGTAAGACTCGCTGCCGATTCTTAATCGAACGTTTAAGTTTGTCGGACATCCAGGGGGCATCATTATGTATAGTCCTGATTTTCATCGGCATGATTAAATTAAGAGAATCAGATACAATTTTGTTAAAAAAGTCAACCTTTCCCTCACAAGAGTTAATTAGATCCAAACACGACCAATCAATTGTTGAAAGAACTCTCCCAAGGGCCATTTTGTTGCTTGGTCTAATGTCTCGTGATTTAACTACTCTTGGTCTATTCGTATTAATATTTCTGATCTTTGGAAAAAGCGATATCGAGACCAAAGGGTGCCATTTTCTCAGGATTATCGAAGAATTGAGATATATTAGTCAAAATCACATCCCATGTTCTCTCACCTCTAGTTGGAAAATTTACAAGTTGCTTCAATTTAAACAAACGAGATTTAACCTCAATTCCTGATTTTCAATTTAAACAAACGAAAGAGAGTCTTTCACAAGAGTCCAGAATGGTATATCATGAAATTGCTAAAAACTACAAGTCTTTCTATTAACCGAAGGCCTTTGTAAACAAAAAAATCTTTAGAAGTTTCTTAAAAGTTGAAACATTGGAAGTTTCTCTTATATTATTAAGAGGCAAGCTATTCCACACAACAGGAACAGCTTTAACAAAAGCACGGTCTCCAAATGTTTTACAAGTTGTTCTAGGAATAAGTAACGAGTAGTTTCTGTCTGCTAGATCTTAAACGATAAGCTCCTACGTCCTTTAATCGAAGCAAGTTCTCAAGATTTGCGGGTGCCTCCCCATTTAACACTTTAAAAACAAGGAGAGCAATTTTGAACTCCACGCGATATCGAACAGGCAACCAATGCAGCTCCTTTAAGATTGGTGAGATATGCTCAAACCTAGGAACTACACAGACAACTCGAGCAGCAGCGTTCAAAACTCGCTGTAGTCGATTAAATTGGTATACTGGGGTATACCATATAACAAAGAATTGCAATAGTCAAGATGTGATGTGACTAAGGCGTGAATAAGTGTTTTCGTCGAGTCAGGAGTTAGAAACTTTCGAATTTGACGAATGTTATATAAACTACGAAATGCCTTGCTGCAAACTTTTCCAACGTGGACACTCATTGACATTTGATTATCAAACCAAGTACCGAAGTTGCGCACAAATGATATCGGCATAATCATGGATTCACCAACATTTATAGAGTTAACGGTCACCTTAGTCAGCTACTGTCTCGAACCAATGATCAGAAAATATTTTACTTACATCTCTGTTGCTTTAACTACAGTTTTATGCATGAGTCAATTCCAGCAGTAACCATCCCCCCCCCCCGGGAACACAACCGGGAATTTGATTTGATTGGTTATGATAGTGTAAATGCCCGGGTGCCGGGACACAACGACCCCTGGGCAAGCTGAAAGTGGAAAATACCCCACCCCGGGGACGATTTTACAGTCGGTTTCACAAAACTTTGACCACAAATGTTCGGAACTTCGTTGCGAAGTTCGGAAGCTCATATTGGAATTCACAAGCCAATTTGTAAACAAAGTCCCTGATTGATCCGTGAACTAAAAGAAGCCAATCAAATGCGTAGTTTACGAACTGGTTTGTGAATCTCATTATGAACTTTTGAACTTCGCAACAATCTTGTGAACTTCGCAACGAAGTTCGGAAATTTTGTGGTCAAAGTTTCGTGAAATCGACTGTAAACGTTAATTAAACTTTTAAAGGCATATAATCATAGTCATTTAATAACATTATAGTATTAAACTGCTATGGAATATTATAAAACATAAACCTTTAATAGTTGAATTTAAATTTGCATGGCACAGGGTATAATTTTCGCTTATTCTTACAATAAATTTCACGCCACCTTGACCACGAGGGCGCAAAATACGATCAGCGCGCCCACATGCTTGCCTGAAACTATGTTTTGCTGCCTTAAAATTTGTGGGTGGGATTCTGGGCAACCATTTGTCAAATCCCCGGGGTTCTCCAATACCCGGCCCCCGTGCACATATATGAAAGGCAAATTCCCGACCCCCGTGAACTGTCTATCGGGCAAATTCCCGGGGGGGGGATGGTTACTCCAGGAATTGACTCATGCATTATACAGACAACGATATCGTGAAATGAGGGAACTCAATCAGGATTTGTAAAACAACAGCCTATTCAAGGCGGCAACTTCGGCTTTAAAAAGTAAATAATATATAGCGGCACTTGCAGAACGCAAACCTTGGGCATGTTCATAGGGAGGCGAGCTACCTTTCTACGATACTCTCTTCTCCGAAGTATAGGGGGACTTGAATACTAGAGCGTGACATCATACGCTAGAACTTCATTCTTGATCATTCTGAGAACATCCAAATAGTACATAATCAATTGTAATATTTTAGTTTCGTTTACCGTTGTTGATTGCTTATATTAGTTGCCGTTGGTAATTAGTGGAAATACAGTATCAGTTACCATTTATAATATACCGGTATCACTGTTATTCCTGTCTGTTCTCCCTCTGACAGGCCGGGTTCTTGGCAAGATGTAAATAGTCACCGGAAAACTATAAAACGAGTTTACATAATAAGAAATTCCTACTATAAAGATCTTCTTGTTGCCGAGTTGATCGGTTAGAAATTAAGATAGAACGACTGCAAGTGGCAAGTGCATGCTGCTATATATTATTTATTTTTCAAAGCCGAAATTGCTGCCCTGAATGAGCTGTTGTTTTACAAATCCTTATTGAGTTCTCTCATTTCACGATATCATTGTCTGTATAAAACTGTACGCAAAGCAACAGAGATCTTAGTAAAGTATATTTTTTAAAATTGCAGAAATTTTATATTCTCCCTCCTTATTTGCCAATATTTTTGCGATATACACCAGCACGCGTCACTTGTTTACATCCACCAAATGTCGAATGCTTAAAATCGTTAACTGACTTCGAGTTAAGCTCCCGGCGAAAAAGGGCGTGGCAAGGGTTTAACTCGAAGGGCTCAAGTCGAAAAATACCTATCCCTTTAAAACATATCGATGCAAAAGATGCTTCAAATATAACGGAGCGGTAGTATGGAATAATCTACCCTATGAGGTAAAAGTGGTGGAATCTTTAAGGCTCCCTACACTTTTTTAAATTAAAGATTTTCTGATTTGGATATGATTTTCTGTACAATTATTACTTGCTTGAAAACAAAGAGTATCTGACTGGCATAACACAATAACTAAGGGGTTCGGAATTTTTCAAAAACTACTCCTAACAGCCGTTTTTATGGCAACAATGACGTCACAATATGGCATATTTTATGTTTAAAGTAATTTAACTCGAAAAAAGGGTCGGTTACCCCCATTTTTTATTTCATAAAATAATTTCTATTGGAATTTTGAATAATTATTCCAAATTCTGGAATGCCAAAACTTTTCAAGATAGAAAATGTGAAAAATGTTTAAAATCATGAAAATAATTCAAAATACTAAAAGAAATCATTTTATGAAATAAAAAATGGGGGTAACCGAACTTTTTTTAGTTAAGTTACAAACATAAAATATCCACCATGTTGTGACGTCATTGTTGCCATAACAACGGCGGTTAAAAATAGTTTTTTTAAAATTCCGAACTCCTAAGCCTGCAGCACACGAGAGCTATCTGCTGAGCCAAAAGTTACTCGCGCCTGTTAGCTCAGCCGATAGCTCACCGTGTGCGGGTACATTTTACTGAGTTTTATGCCTCATGCAACATTTTTTCACGTATCAAACATGTTTGATCTGGGAGCTATCGGCTGAGCTAACAGGCACGAGTAACTTTTGGCTCAGCAGATAGCTCTCGTGTGCTGCAGGCTTTAGTTATTGCGTTATACCAATTAGGCACAGAAAAAGTGTAGCGAGCCACCTTAAGTTCTTTTCAAAGAACTATTAATCAGGCAAACACTTAAAAATTGGCTCGTTCCTTCATTCTTTGCTTTTGTATTTTTGTATAGTCTAGTAATGTTTATCTGTATATTCTTTCTAAAATTACGCCCCTCATGGAAATCATGAGTTGTGGGCATAAATAAATTTTTGCATGCATGGATGTATGTGTGCTTGTATGTATGTGTGTATGTATGTATGTATGTATGTATGTATGTATGTATGTGTGTATGTATGTATGTATGTATGTATGTATGTATGTATGTATGTATGTATGTATGTATGTATGTATGTATGTATGTATGTATGTATGTATGTATGTATGTATGTATGTATGTATGTACGTATGTATGTATGTATGTATGTATGTATGTATGTATGTATGTATGTATGTATGTATGTATGTATGTATGTATGTATGTATGTATGTATGTATGTATGTATGTATGTATGTATGTATGTATGTATCGCGGCGATCCTGAAATATTTCAGTTTACTGCACTGTTTTTGCGAACGTATGCGCTTGTTAATGGAATGACGTGATGGAGTCGAAACTGTTGACACTCCTTACATTACATTCCTTTCAGCGTCGATGGTCACTTTCTCGCAATATAAGTGACAACTTTTTCGCAAGAATCAAGAGGAAACTGCGTGTTATTAATCAGTACAATTTTTTGGCTAAGTCTGTAATCTAGGGTTTAGAACTGTAGCGTGTTATTTGATTGCAGCAGAAGTTTCGGGTTTTTTTTCGAAATTTACTACACTGAGACACGGACCATGCATTATTTTTTGCGGTTCTTCCACATTCTCCAAATTTTGTTCAATAATTTCTTAAATTAATGGCATTGCACTGACATCTATTGTACCGATAGGATTTGTTAGATATATAGATATAGACGGACAGCGGTCATACGCACGGACATGCGCATTAGATATGTAGATCGGCCATGCTGATGTATTATTCATATTTTGTTAAAAGTATAGTCTAAATACACGACAGTGGCGACGAATTTGGGATTGTTATAAGTCCAGAAATGAAATCCAAGGAAGCTGGGAGACGTATGTCGAACGAGTACAACATTTTTTCGCTGCAAACGATGTCGACGACAATCATCTAGTGCCAACTCTGCTGAGTTTGATTGGAAGCAAAACGTATTCATTATTAAAGGATTTACTTTTGCCAGAAAAGCCTGCAGACAAGAACTTTGATGAAATAGTAAGTACATTACAGAAGCATTTAAATACTAAACCACTAGCATTAGCCGAACGGTTTCGTTTTTATAAGAGAAATTAGCAAGAAGGGGAGAGCACTTTAAGTTATATAGCTGAGTTAAAGATATTAACCACACATTGCAATTTTGGAAATAACTTGGAAGAAACCTTGCGTGACAGATTGGTGTGTGGATTAAGTAATCAGCAAATTCAGAAACGACTCCTTGCAGAGTCGAAATTAAAATTCACCAAAGCTGTTGACATAGCAGTTGCTATGGAAACAGCCACTCGAGATGCTACAGAGATCCACAGCGAGGGTAGAGAAAAAAAACCTCTTGGACTTGACAAACTGACACTGAACAGACCCTCGAATAGATCAGATAGTGGCCCACCTTCCCCTGTAGTGTGTTATCGATGTGGAGCTAATACCCATGTTGCAACTGAGTGTAGATTTAAGAAAGAAGTTTTTGTCACAAGTGTGGAAAGAGAGGTCATATTCGAAGTGCTTGCCGGGCACAACAAAGCTAGGGGCCCGGTCGACCCTCGCCCAGATCAAGATACCAGAAATTGACCCATGCCATAGAGACTGAACCAGATGAGTATGGACCCTTGTTGAATAACCTAGAAGTTCATAATGTAAACAAATCAAACAGTGATGTTATATGGGTTGACGTGAAAGTTGAAAATCAACCACTATCCATGGAACTAGACACAGGATCGGCCGTGTCCATTTTGCCATATGACATGTTCTTGGAAAGATTTCGCGACAAGAAGTTTGCAAAAACAACCACTGTACTAAAGACCTATACTGGTGAACTGATCGTTCCAGTTTGTTGCCTTACCATGCAAGTTGAATACTTAGATCAATCATGTCTATTGCCACTCCATGTAGTCCAGACTAAGGGTTCAGTGTTAATGGGTCGAGATTGGCTTTACAAGCTTCGCCTCAAGTGGAAAACCATTAAGTTGTTGAAATCCTCAGATCCCAGCCATTGCAACCCTCGCACGACTACACAAGAGAAGCTGAAAAACCTATTGGATACGTATGCCGAGGTTTTTGAAGACAAGCTGGGAACTTTCAAATCTGCCAAAGCAAGGATAACCCTCAAAGAAGGTAGTCAACCACAGTTTCGCAAAACTCGTCAGGCCCCATATTCCTTACGACCGAAAGTGGAGGAAGAACTGAAGAGACTTCAGGGCGAAGGTATTTTGTCGAAAGTAGAGTGGAGTGATTGGGCGACACCGATTGTACCAGTGCCGAAACAAGATGGTTCAGTCCGTATTTGTGGTGACTTCAAAGGTACTATTAACCCAACATTACAAGCAGAACAGTATCCTCTGCCTCGAATCGAAGATATTTTTCCCGTTTAGGTGGTGGGAAGAAGTTTTCCAAGATCGACCTCCGCCTAGCTTACCATCAGATTGAGTTGGAGGAAGAATCCAAGAAGTACCTTACAATTAATACGCCCATGGGTTTGTTTCAATACAATCGATTGGTGTTTGGAATTACCTCGGCTCCCAACATTTGGCAGCGTACCATAGATCAGATTCTGGAAGGAACTTCTGGTATTAGTTGTATCCTAGATGATATGATTGTGACGGGTAAAAGCGACGCAGAGCATATCGCTAACCTGAAGGAGGTCCTTCGACGGCTGCACCACCATGGGTTAAGGGCCAATAAATCGAAGTGTGAGTTCTTCAAAGAAAAGATCACGTTCTGTGGCCACGACATTAATAGCGACCGACAAGATAGCTGCAATGGTGAATGCCCCTCGCCCCCAGAGTGTTGCAGAGGTACGCTCCTTCCTGTGATTGGTGAATTATTACCACAAATTCCTGCCAAACCTTGCTACAATCCTGCATCTGACGCAAAGCTACAACTTGTGGCCCAAAATTGATAAGGACATTGAGCACCTAGCCAAGAGCTGCCCTGGTTGTCAACTTCAACAGAATGAAGCCGGCAAAGTACCACTACACCCCTGGGAATGGCCAACCACACCTTGGCAGAGAATCCATTTAGATTTTGCTGGGCCGTTTCTAGGAAGAATGTTCCTTATCATTGTAGATGCACATTCGAAGTGGCCTGAAGTGGAAATAATGCCATCCACCACATCGGCGCAAACCATTGACCGACTCCGAAATATTTTTGCCCGATATGGAGTGCCAGCACAGGTGGTGACCGACAATGGGCCACAATTTACATCCGCAGAGTTCCAACTATTTTTGAAGACTAATGGTATCAAGCATATTACCATGGCCCTATACCACCCTACAACCAACGGTCAAGCGGAACGTTTTGTTCAGAGTTTCAAACATGCTATGAAATGCGAGAAACAAAGTGCATCCCAGCTGAAAACCAATATGGCAAAGTTCCTTTTGGCTTACCGGAACACCCCGCATTCGACGACTGGAGAATCACCGTCCGTGTTGTTTTTAGGCAGACCGCTACGGACTCGCCTCGATTTGGTGAAACCTGATTTACAAAGGAAAGTGATGAACAGGCAAATCGATCAAGCAGGGAGAAAAAAACATTCCCCCACACGTCAGTTATCCATTGATCAGACTGTCATGGCACGTAACTACAGTGGGAAAGATAAGTGGCTACCAGACACAGTTCGAGCTCAAACGGGACCCCTTTTGTACGAGATAACAGTTGGTCCAAATCGAATTTGGCGACCTCACATCGACCAGCTTCGAGCCTCTAGTGTGAAAGTAAATGACCAGAGTGATGATACGGCTGAACCTCATCCAGAGCCCGGAGAGACTGGTCAGAATATTGCACCAGCAGAAGAAATTGTCGCAGAGCCGGATATCGAACTAGCCACGAATCCACCAGTAGTGCAACAACAAGAAACCGGTAGGGCTACAACAGGATCTGAACAACGCTACCCAACTAGATCACACCAACCACCCAAGAGGTGGGGTCTTAACTCTTTGATCCGAAAATTGTTTAAGAAAACTACATAGAGAACTGCTTTATTACTTACTGTTATAGTTAGCATAATTGTTCGAACACGAATACACGATAGTGAACTCAAGAACAATGTTTTAGGAGAGATGGTGTTAGATATATAGATATAGACGGATAGCGGTCATACGCACGGACATGCGCATTAGATATGTAAATCGGCCATGCTTATGTATTATTCATATTTTGTTAAAAGTATAATCTAAATACACGACAGGTATATCGGAATCTTTTATTTGAAGTCAAATCCTTTCCTCAAAAAAACACGAATTGGAGAATTAACAGAATCAAAAATAAAGGCTGGTACTTTCCACATTTATCTGAATACACCACGGGAATACACCGGCAGTGTTGCACCCTCCGACGACCCTCCGACCCCTTTCCACTGATCCCCTTTCACTTTGAAAGAAATTTTATTTTGGAAGGAAATTTTCTTCCAAGTGGAAACGCTGCAACACAATTTATACACAAAGAACACAAAGGCACTTTGACAAAGGCAATTGCTACAATCCTGGAAAAAAATTAGTAGACTTCTTAAATTTTCAAACTTTGTCCCCCTCCCCCCTTATACAATGTTGGTATTTACGTGACATGTGTTGCAAATCCACCAACATTGTTTCGGGCGGGGGGGGGAGGGGGTAATTAAAAGAAATAGTTGCTTTAATTGAAAAATTCTCACATTTTCATCATATGTTTTCAAATTTGGGTGTATTTTTCGAAAAGTCTACAAATATTTTTTTTAAGATTGTAGATAGTATACTTCAAAATAAGATTTCCGTTTTTATATCAATTTTTAAAATAATTAAAATAAGTTAGGGTTAGGTTAGGGTTTAGGTTAGGGTTAGGTTGGGGTTAGGGTGAGGGTTAGTATTAGGGTTAACAGCTGGGAAATTTGTTGTCGCTGTGCAGAGAAATTGCTGGCGCACGCGATATTTTACAAAAATTCGAAAATTTGAAAAAACAACACGAGTGGAATTTCAACTTATGATTTTGCATTTTTAAGACGGCGATCAAGGAAATTAAATTGTTGGAAAAACTTCACTAACATCTCAAGTATGGAAAGCATCTACATTACCAGCAATTTAATTGCGGATTGATTCAAAATTCAGGCGATAAAGTTACATAGCTAGGAGTTGGCTTTTGTGCTCTTCGAATATCAGTTTTCATTCGCGGATTACCACAACTTGTTGGTCTCATGGGTGCCAAAATCGCCGATAAACGTAAACTGCTAACCAAGAGCTATAAAGCAAATAGCTTCTCAAAAAGATAAACTTTATTCAGTCAAAAGGATGAGGGTAAATAAACATCCTACTGCGTGATAGTGATTTCGAAGCAATTTTGCCACATATATTTTAAAAAGTGGGATTATGAATCAAATTTTGCTTTTGCAATCCCAAAAAGGTATGGAAGTTGTTTAAATATTTAAGGTTTCCGTGTTTATAAAGTATTTTTTTGAGAAAAGTAAAAATTTTCCCGATAAAAAAGCATAGTTTCTGCAGAAAACTGTTTTCTAATAGAGAAGATCCTGGGGGAGGGGGTGTAGAAGCGTGCGCAGATAGCAAAAAACCTTGACGATTCCTCCAAAAAATTAATACCAAATTTTGTTTTGCCTTTGTTTGATATGTAATTTAAACAAGTTTTTTTACATCTAAAAATTGCCCCTAGTGGTCAAAACTTGGATTATGTTCGCAGTATTAGCCATTTGTTTACTTTTGGGGATCAAAGTTTGAGGTGCAAGTTTGCAAACTACCCAGCTAATTCTTGGCTGTTGTTTGCAGCCTTGAATGCTGATTAAAATTTAGTTTAGTCCACAAAAGTAGATCCTTTCAATGAAGGGAAATTCAAAATAGTATATTTGATTACTTTTACAGCACAGTCATTACATAGGTAGGGTGCAATACCAGGCCAAATTGCAAAAAAATTTACCGATTCCTCCAAATTTAAAATCATATTTTTTTGCTCCCAAGGCACATAGGAAACAGAATTTAACAATAAATTTTGTTGAAAAATTGCCCCTTTGGGTCTAATTTCGCTTTGAAATGCGTGCGTTTACTGCTCTTGCATGAAGCAAGAGTTCGAAAACATTCGGCGAAGACTGTAAAATGTAATGAAATCGACAACTTGACCTTGGCTTTGAGACCTTGTACTGTCTCAGCACTGAAATGTTTTTTGACAACGATAATTTACCAGTGTTTCTTGAATAATTTCCTTGTTTAAGTAGTAGAACTGAACGTACAAGTGCATCAGAAGACTAAGTGAGAGTTTTGTGTAGAAATGCTCTGTTTACGGGAAGTTATTTTGCATTCGCAAGCGTCAACAAAAGCCTGCATTTTCACAGTTTCATGCATGTTTGATTAATATCATAGCGATAGATAAAAGCTTTCAAAGTTCAATTGAAAACATTTTAAACCACCCGTATTTGTATAGTATATATGTTAGTTGTATTAACATTGAACTTCTTTCTGTTTGAACCCAAATTTGTACTTGTTTTGCGTTTGACAAGGCGGTCAAGCTCGCGACGATTGGCTTTTATACCTCAGGCATGACTGCAGATTTAGCGTGTCAAATGTCTTCTTGTTTGTGTCAAGATTATAATATTCTATTGCTGTTCAAACGAGATATTCTAAACACTGGAAACGTAGAGTATATTTTACTTTGACTTTGTCTCAAGCAAAACAATTATAAAGATTAAACAGGCATTCAAAAATATACAACAACACGAACATCTCGTAATATTTCTTCGGGGAAATTTCAATGGTTCTGGCGCATGCGCAACAGATTTCCCAGCTGTTATTAGGGTTAGGGTTTAGTTTTGCGTTAGGATAGTTTTTTCTACGTTATAAAAATGGAAACCTTATTTTGAAGTATACTATCTAGCGATCACCCTTTGACAAAGGTGACAAAGTGAAAGTTTTTAAAGTTTATAAATTCTGTGGTTTATGGGTTTATAAACTTGTTGTTTATATCTTCCAAGACTTCACGATTGGTCTTTTTAATTTGACATAGCTATACACGAATGTATTATTGTATAAATTTGATTTTATAAACAGGTTTTGTACTAAAAGATATAAATATATCCCTTGCCTTGTTTGATGTTTTGCTGGGAGGCAAATTGGGATTGTACTGTTTGTACAAAAGATTATATTCTCCATTGTGATTCAACAATGGGAGTTACAATAGCGAATCCCTCTTTGGAGCTTTTTAAAACGTTTTGCCTGCCAGAAAACGTAAACAAGGGATGATTGGTATTAAACTGGTAAGGACCGGATTAAAGGTATATTTGTGAGGCTCGAGCTCACTCCTTGAATCTTGCCTTGAATTGCCAATATTTGTTCTCGTGAAATGTGAAATGACGAAAAAACTGCTTTTTATCTCCACGTCCGGCCTAGTGATGCACGAATGAGGCATCACCAGAAAGCTTGTCTGCTTGTGGATCGTAGATTTCAGAAATATAATTTTCAGGCTGGCCCAAATTCAAGTCTTTGCTACAAGGGCCTTGAAATTCAATAGAACGCAAGGTTCGAAACCACATAATATATTAACTTTCACGTCTTTTTCGATTATGCACCTGGAATAACCTGCTTTGTATCTTCATGGACTGACTTTTGATGCACGAGTAAGGCATCGACAGAAAGCCTATGGACCGTAGATTCTAAAACTACAATTTTTAGACCGTGCCAAATTCCAGTTTCTGCTGCACAGGCCTTGAAATTCAATAGAACATCAGATTCGAAACAACCAAACCCTAACCCACACTTATAAAATATTAACTTTCACGTCATTTGCGATTACACAGCTGGAAAAAACTGCTTTTTATCTCCACGTCCGGCCTAGTGATGCACAAATGAGGTATCGACAGAAAGCTAATGGATCGTAGATTCCAAAAATACAATTCTCGGGCTAGCCCAAATTCGAGTCTCTGCTACAAGGGCCTTGAAAGTCGATAGAACATCAGGTTCGAAACCGCATAATATTAATTTTCACGTCTTTTTCGATTATGCACCTGGAATAACCTGCTTTGTATCTTCATGGACTGACTTTTGATGAACGAGTAAGGCATCGACAGAAAGCCTATGGACCGTAGATT